AAAAAAAGTAACAGGAAAAACCACTCGAAAAAAAAATAAACAAACGAGTGTAGCATTTCTGTACAAAAAAATAGTAAGAAGAAGTGACAAAAAAAAAACTCAAGTAGAAAAAAATAGAAAATTAAAACATTGAAATAAAAAGCAGAACAAAAAAAATGGCAAAATTTTCGGCTATAATTTTATTTGATTTGAATTATTACAAAAAAAAAAAAGCTTAAAAAATTTTTTTGCCAAAGAAAAAACTGACGTTGAATGACGACAGTAATAACGATGTGGTTGCAGATACTGATGCCTAATGCTGATGCTGTTTCTGATGACGTTCAGGCATTGAACAATTAAACAAAGATTATTTAAATTTTAGACTATTCTTACTATAAATGCTAAAAAAAAAAAAGAAGAAAGAATTACTGTAACAGTTCAATGAACTTTTTTTACACTAATTTTTTAGCTTCTAAAAAACTTTAAACTTTTTTTTTTTGCACTTTTTTTTTGAACTGCATTCACATTGACTGTTCATCAGTTTTTAAGCGTCAAAAAAAAAAATGCTTGTCTATAGAAGAATAGTCTTATTGATGGCATAAAAAAAAAGCAAAGAAGAAAAGATGAGGAAGATTACAAGGCAGGATTACTGAATCGTTTAACAGTCGTCGTAGTTGCCGTTGTTGTTGTTGTTGTTGCCATCAACTGAATGTACAGAAAACCCAATAAAAGTTTAAAATAAATATAAACTTTCTTTAATTTATTTATTCCCCAAATAAAGGAATAAATAAGTTGTCCATAAGGTCAGCAGTACAAAAGTTACTTTAAGAAAAACAAACCAAGCTTTTGATATGATGACCACAACTTACAAGTTGTTGCCATTCTGTTTTTGTCTACCAGTTGCTGTTGCTACTGCTACTGTTGATGCTGATGACAGCGATGACGATGATGATAATAATGATAACTGCTTTTTTTTTTTTTCAAACTAAATCATTTTCCGCAAAAATTACCTCGCTAACATTTAAAAGAACTATTAAATTGCTGATCAACAACATTGATTATGACACTGATATGATCGTCTAAAGAATTCTTATGTTACTTCTTTTTTGACTTCTTTTTTTTTTCACTTTTTTTTTTAACTGGAGATGAGAAGAAGAGGTGAAAGAAAGGTGACAACTAAACAAAAGAAGTATATTTATTTTGGTTTATTTTGCAGATGTTTATTTCGACATCAATTTTACTCAACCAAATAAAGTCGCTTAACAGTTGAAAAAGTAAGGCAGTTTTTTTTCTGTTTGACATACACATTTTTCGATAACAACGAACGGACAGATCAGTAAAATCACTGTGACTGTTATCATACAGTGTCAACTTCACATACCGCTGATACAGAAGAGTTGTTGACAGCAATATCAGGAAAACTGATATGAATAATAATTAAGAAAACAAGGAGAAAAGCCGTAGTTTCAAAAAAAAAAAAAAAAAGAGCGAAAGAAACAGGAACAATAGAGTTGAAACTAACAGATCAAAAAAAGCTTGGCTTAAACACGTGTTGTTATCATTAGTGCGAACCCTATAAATATTTATTATACTCAGCTGAGTTATACTTAATTCTATCCCTTGTAGACAATTATTACATTATCAGTTGACGCTAAACCTAAAGACTTAATCATCGCTGCAACGGTGGTCTAAAGAGGATTATCTGTCTGATACAGTGAACAATGTTGCCTTTATTTTGCAAACCGATGTCGGTTAGCAATTATCCGTCATCTACTAATGATCAGAAAATATTAAGACCGCAACTATTATCATCCGTAATGATCAACAGATCCAAGTGTCAAAAAGTTAAATTTTTCCGACATCTTACTGTTACAATCTGTTAAGCTTTGGCAAAATTCAGATATTTGGTTGTCAGTAATAATAGCGATGATAATGACGATTATGATAATTGACTAAATCTATCAGCCGATACAGATAATCCACTATGCAAATTGAAGTATAAAGTGGTTAAAGACAAGTTTAGCACAAAAAAAAAAAAAATTTTTATTCAACAATACTATAACATGCCAGGAAAGTTTACTAAAATAGAAGCAAGAGCAAAAATTAAAAAAAGTAAAATTGACACCAAACTCAAAAGCAGAAAAAAAAAGAACCTATTTTGCAATCTTCCAGTTGTTGTCATTCGATGAAACCAGTAATTTACAATAAAAAAATATTCAAATTTAAATTTTATTTCTTTTTTTTTTTTCTCCTCCTTATTGCTCCGATCGTTTGATTAATCAAAAATGAGCAATCAGCTGTAATGCTGCTACGTGTAAGAAAAAAAAAAAAGAAAGAAAACGATTCTTCTGCTAACTTTCACTGATTTTCAGTACGGACAAAAACGACGACAATGACGAGGAAACGACAACGACAACAAAGGCAAAAAACAGTAGCAAAAATGAATCTTATCATTTTACGATTTATATGTATATATAAAACAAAAAAAAAAAATTAGACTAAAAAATTGACTAAAAAGAATTTTTTTGTGAAAGACTCAATGTTTAATAACAGTAAATAATTAGCAAAAAATTCTATCTTACTAACTGAAACTAAATTGCTTATCTGTCTTGAATGTAAATGATGGAATATTAGACTGTTTCAAAAATGTAGACAGTTATCTTCAACAGGACAGATTATACAGACGTTATCTATGAGAAAAAAAAGAAACCCGAAAAAAAAGAAGCACAATATCAATGTATATCCGGTATTTTGATGAGTGAAATGTACAAAGATTAACCACCTAACTAACTGTCAATTTAACTTCATTGCATAATGGAACAACTGTAAAAAAAAAACTTAACTAACTGATCGACCAAACAACAACAATAGAAAAAAAAAATCACTGTTCTGTCAGCAATTTATTCTATGGCGACAATTACTCAAAAATTTGTGAACGAAATATATAGAGAAAAAAAAAATTAGATTAAAAAAAAAAAAAGAAAGAAATGAGAGAGAAAAAATTGAAGTTAGTTCTATGTATCAGATGCGATACAATCGATTAGACTGTAGACCACACTTAGTTCCCATTTTTTTT